ATGTGGGATCTCCAATTTGTGCTTCAGGCGGCAAACCACAAAATCAACACCCCTAAATCCTACATCAAAATCTTAAAGCCTGACATGACTAATACTGCTCGGCTCCGAACAAGAAATGCCGGGCCGCTCCAGCAAGCAGACTTCTACCTAAACCTCCTAATGTTCGGTTTAGGGTTTAGGGTTATAGTACTGCTCTTTAGAACCCTTTTTGGGTGGTAAATGGCAATTCCTATAGCCTATGTGCAGTTTCGGATGTTCTGGTACCGCCTACCACCAGCCCAGCATTCCTGTTTACCTCGAGAGCCCAATACACCTCAATTCAAGAATATACCCTAAATGATTCTAGTATGCCTGATGTGATTCAAGGTATACTACTTAGCTACGAGTAAGAGGTGTTGATCGCACTGCGTACCCTAAACCCCAAACCCCAACCCCTAAACCCTTAAGCCCTAATCCTTAAACCCCAGACCCTAAATGTCTCTCTCGGCTCCCTGCCCGTCACTGGCAGCAGCGTGGGACCCAGAGGGCAGAAGGTGTCGAAGGACTTGGCTCGTGACCACTGTCCTCCACCCTTCTTGCCCTGCCACCTCCGTTTCAAAGATCAGGGATTTCGGGGTTTAGGGTTTAGGGATTTAGGGTGTAGGCCTGCCACCTCCGGTTCCCCAGCAAGCCCAAAATGGCATCATTAAGGAATATACCTTAAGTCCGATTTAAAAGTCTTAGTTAGGCGTAAAGTACATTTTTTGATAAAACTGTATTGCGCGCTTTGGATGTCAGGTCAAGGGATTATTGTCTAGGGGGTCTAGGGTTCTTTGTTGGGATACTTCTGATAGGATCCTTTTTACGTTGTTTCTTCTTGGGGTTTGGTAGAAGAATCTCGGGAGGTCGTCATACTTGGGGAGTCAGGATGACTTAGTAAGGATACCCATAACCCCTATAAATCCTGCAATAACCCTAGTTGTCCCCATGAAGAAAACACTTGCTGTGTTCCCCTGACTCTCCCTAAACCCTAAGTGATCGAGTTCGGGATCTAATTTGCAAAGATTGTGCCTTCTACGTGAGAATTTCACAAGGTTGCTGCTAAAGAACTTGAATTAAGGTACTATAACTATAATAAGGGAGCTTTATCATTCACTGTATACCCATATTGTGGTACCTTAATGTAAGTTCCTTAACTTACAGCAACCCAAATCCATATAGCAGCTTCCATTTTCATTTGCACGTCCCAATAATGCTACACCCTATATCAGGCCCATATAGCCATATGGCTTGTTTTTAAGTTTAGGATCTAGGGGTTTGGGTTTTACGCATGTTGCTTCAGAATTAGGGTTTAGAGTCGTGGGTTCTCTGTCTTGTTGAGTTGCCAAATTTGAATACTTTCTATACATAGGGGGACCCCAGTACCAACACCAAGATACTACAATCCTTATCAGATGGACCCCTTGTTTCAGGAAATCCCCATGCCGGGGCTCACAGGCTTCTCTCTTTGTGCCAACAGCTGTGCATTCACTGCGCTTTGCTGGTGGCGACCTCCAGCCCTCCGCCCATGACCCATGAATATTCAGCCTCCTGCAGTTCAGAGAAGCAGCTGGCAAATGGGAATGCTCAAAGGTTAGGGTGAAGCCATCATAGGCGGGTGCACCAGGCGAGCCCCAAACCCGTCATGTTTGAAAGCATTGTGCTGGTCCAAGCAGCCTTCGTGCAGAGACATCATTGGCGCCGGTAACTCCCAGAACCTGAGATGATGACGCTGCAGCTACTCATAATTGCTGCCACTATGAGTCATGATGATGGACGGTTTAGGATTTAGGGTGTGACCAACCATGATGGCAATCAGGGGATGTAGGTTTCTTCGCTATTGCCTTGTTGCAGCTGGGTCTGAAAGCTGGGTCTTCAGCAGCTTTCGCATGGGCAGGCTTCTCTGAGGCAGATATGAGCGAACAGTGCAGTACTTGCCATATGGAAAAGCCACAGAGGAATCCATCTTGGCTGTTAAGAAGGAATAAAGGAATATAATCCCTCTGTAATCCCTGTATAACATTCATACAACACATTAAAATATTCCCTGCTAACCCTCCACGTAAGTCACTGAAACCGGGCCATCGAATTGGAAGACACGTCGAATTTTGAAGGGCCTGAACGATGCTCTGCGCGACCTGGAAAGTCTTTACATGCACCAAACTGTGGTTGTTGCAAAGCTGTAACTGTTCCGAAGAAGAACGGTATGCAACCATCCTGGAAAAAAGTTTAATGGGATCCCCAAACAAGGAACCCCGCAGGAATATACCTACCAGTATGCTTATATTGAACCCACGAAGCTCCCTCACTACTATTACACGTCCCTCCTGAAACCCTGGTGCTGGCAGGCCACGGAATCGAGGGCCTCCTCCGGAGTCGCGTCCCTGACCTCTGGGCTGCCCTACTTGGCTTAGGGGCTTAGGAAAGGGTTTTAAGGGTTTGGGGGTTTGGGGTTTAAGGGTTTCGGGTTTAAAGCTTCGGGTCACGGTAGGTCTAACCTACATAACATTCCAAATATCTTATGACAGTAGTTGTAACCTGCTTCTCCACTTGGAGGTTCATAATCAATTATAACCATGGTTGAAGGTTTTGGCTCATACTCATACTTATACCACTAATTATCGGGCGGGAAGTTCGTCGCACTGCCATGTCTTCAACTTGAACCTTGCCAAACCCCTTCCCCCATAGACTCCTCCACCAACCAGCTCAAGGCCTCAAGTCCTCCGTCTGGAACAATGGTAAATTCCATTATAAGTGTATTCCAGCGTGATAATTC